AAAGCGGTTCCTGAGGAGCAGCAGCAGCGGAGAATTCCTCAGGCCGGGAAAATCCGGGATTCCAGCAGGAAAAGCTCAGGGTTTCCTGCGCCTGCAATGGGAAAGAGCCACAGGGAATTTTCGGGAGTCATCCGGGGGAATTCTGGGATCGGCCGAGCCCCCATTCCCCATTCCCGGGGTTTTGCATTCCCAAATCCCACACACCTCCCAGAAAATCCAAATGAATCCAAGGAAACACCAAGGAATCCCGGGTTTTCCTTGGATTTTTAGACAGCGGGAGCAACAAATGGAGCTGGAATCCAATTCCTCAGGTCCCTCTTCCCACGGGGAATTTGGGATTTCCCAATGGATAACGAGGGGTGGAAGGGAGAGGGAATCCAGGGAAATCCCGCTGCCATTCCCAGCCCTATTCCAGTCGGGAATGAAGGCCCAAAGTGGGAAGGGCAGCGAAGTTGGGGGGAAACATTCCCAAAGTTTTGTCGGGAAAGAATTCCAGGGCTGGAATTCCCAGGGTTGCCTTAGCAGTAATTTGGGAATGGGAATTCTCCGCTTCCTTAGCGGCTCCACGCAGTTGGAATTTCAGCAGGAATTCCGCCGCAATTCCCTCTTCCCACAGGGAACTGGAATCCCAAGAAACCGGAAGCTCCTGATCCTGAGAAGTTGGAATTCCCCAATGGATAATGAGAGGTGTAAGGGGCAGGAAAGGGAATCCAGGGAATTCCTGATATTCCAGCTGGGAATGCAAACCCCAAAAGGGCAGGGAGGGAGAAAACATTCCCGGAGATTTGTCGGGAAAGAATTCCAGGAGCACTCACTTGGGCTGGGCGTGGTGCTGGAATCCTGGGCCCAGCGCCGATCCCGCCCTCATCTCCACGGCCACGGAGCACTGGGAATACACCAAGGTCAGGAGCCACGCTTCCCACAATTCCCAACACTCCCAGAATTCCCAGCACTCCCAGCATTCCCCACACTCCCAGCACTCCCAGAACTCCCAGAATTCCCAACACTCCCAGCAATCCCAGCACTCCCAGCAATCCCAACACTCCCACCTCCCCATCCAGAGGCCTTTGGATCCCCGTTCCCGGAATGCCCAAGGCCAGGAATGCCAGGATTGGGATGAGCCCAAGTTCCCTCCCAGCCCGGAATTCCGGGATCCCGGAGAGCATTCCCAGCTCACCCTGGTTTCCACGTCTGTGCATTCCGAGCCCGCAGGGTCGGGGTCGGGCGGGGACGAGCGGCGCTTCCGCCTGGAACGGGAATTTGCGGAATTATGGCTCAAAGCTCCTGGAATTTGCCGCATTCCAACCCTGGGAAAGCTCCTTCGCCTTCCTCAAGAAATCTGGGATGCAGCAGCTCCGGCATCCATCGATTTCTCCAAGTTCTGGGATTTCAAACTGGATTTTCCCATTGGATCATCCGGCCTGGAAGAGCCTCGTGCGTTCCCAGCACGCTCCCAGAATTCCAGAGGCTCCAATTAAAGGTTCCACCACTGGAATTCTGGGAATTCCAAAAGCTCAAATGAAAGGATGATTGAAATTTTGGGAATCCCAGGATTTCAGGAGCTCCAATTAAAGGTTTTATCATTGGAGTTTTGGGAATTGCAGGATTCCAGAGGCTCCAATGAGAGGATGATTGGAGTTTTGGGAATTGCAGGATTCCAGGGGCTGGACTCACC